TTACACCGTTGAACTCTCGTTCTCAGCGAAATTTGAACCCAACGGAAAAAATCTTAGGGTCCTAAGGCAAATGCAGGGTCCTGCTCAATAAAAAATTCAATAAGACATACTTTAACGCAAAAGAGTTTCATTGCCGTGAAAAATGATTGCATTCATAGAATTCCTAGGCATTTCGAGTGCTTTTCAGGCAAGTCTGGCTATACCTGGGATCTTTTCCCTGAATACGACATCTATCAAGTAAGTGATGAGGCTTTTTAAATTGCAGCACAGTAAAAACACGAAAACTTGACAAAATATCAAAATATTTCGAGATTTTGTGTGGTTAGAAACATCCTCCAGAACTCCAGACTTGAGGCCAGATGCCTTCAGATGTTTCCTGGATTGGTCAGTTGAGTTCAGGCAAATTTCAACGTTCCCCAGGTAGCTTTCGACTTATCTAAAAGTCGTCGAGAACTTATAACCGAACAATAGCGAGACACGAAATGAAATTGTTCGTTTTTTTTTGCCCGGGAATTTGCCAATTTGAAGTGATTTCTTAAGGTGAACAGATTCGGGAATGCAATTGATCAACTGACCACCACACAAGGATATGATGCTGATGTAGGGTTATCGCCAGACGGCGAAAAAATGGTTTTCACATCTGTACGCACTGGCGATCCCGAAATATGGATTATGGACTCGAATCTCACCCAGACACAGGTTCTCGCACCCATATTAACTCAGATCTCCTTATCTCATTATATTATATGAACCGTTTGGTGTCATTCAACCAAATCCAACACGTGACACGTAAATGAATGTTTCTACGCGCTTCATATACCTTAGTGCATGTTTCTCATGTGACTGCCTTCAGTACTTTGGATATTAATTGATTCTTCAGCTGATTTCCAGTGTCTGAGGACCAACTTTCTGCAGTTTTAAGTTACAGTCGTTTTCGACTCTGTGCGTTTGTCACTTCAACTAGTCTTACTTGCTTAAGATGATACGAGAAATTATTTTTTTTTTCAGGAAAATTGACCGTTTCTGATTTTCAGTTGACAAACGAAATTGGCT